AACCATTTCGGTCGCTAATAACGTTTTTTCTTATAGTGGAAATCAATTATAGATTACATTAACACTTTAGTGCATGACATAAAATGTCATAAATTGATACAACATAAAATATCATGATGGACATCACATAGAGTGTTTTCGATATCAATCAAAAGTGTCATCAATAAATCAACACCATCAAATATGTCATCAATATATCCATATTATTCAAAGTGTTGTCGTGAACAATATCACCCGAAATATCTTTAACATCATCCAAGAGATTGTCAATAAATCAACACAACTAAAGTGTTGTCAATAAACTAGCACTAGTTAAAGTGTGGTCATGAACATGTGGTTGAGGTGTGGTCGTGAATAACACTACCCAAGATGTTATCGTGAATATGTAACAATGATTAATAATTCAATTTTTCTTAAAAACTTATTAGTCAGATCTTTATTTCAAGTTTATCAAAACTTATTCATTTAAAAAAAAATGACAAAGTTAACCTATATACATATATTCAAACAATTTTTCACAAAACTTATCTATCAAAGTTGTTGTTATTAAGACTTATTAGAACTTGTTCATCGTCAAATGACAAAGTCCATTATGCATAACGATCACCTGTATCATATTGTATACTTGAATTTTGAGCTTAGATACTATCCACATTTGTGTCCAAGATACATAATAATAATAATAATATATATATATATATATAATGAAAATTAATGTTATAAAAATTCATATATTCTTATAATATTAAAAAAAATATTCCAACCATCCTTATTTTATATAATGGATCATAGAACAATGTTATTTCTAAACTATACAATAATTAAACAGTGATAAGAAATTTATATATTAGACATTCTCATTCTCTCTCTCTCTCTCTCTCTCATATATATATATATATATATATATATATATATATATATATATATATATATATATATATCACTACTAAAAATAGTTATTTTAAAAAAAATTATTTAAATTTGTAAGAAACTTATTTCTTGTAATTTTTATAAAAATTTTATAAAAATATTTCGATGAAATATGAAAATTTCTAATGATGTATATATTCTTGTTCTATTTTTTTTTTTCATATTAATATTTGATAGTTAAAGATTTTTACATATTGTTGGTGGAAAAAATCGATATATGAATCGAAAAGTGAATGGAAGAAATTCGATGACCATGTGTTGGTGGGAAAAATCGATATATGAATCGAAAAGTGGATGGAAGAAATTCAATGACCATGATTGGGAGTAAAAAATCGATAATAAGTATCGAGTGTTAAGTTAAGTTTGAGGGAAGTTAGAAGCAATTCAAGTATTCGATGTCCGGGATCGAAATTGAGGGAAACAATTATCTTTGCACATGGTAACATGGGGTAGCGATTTCTAAACCGTTCTTATGTAGTTATGTTGAGCAAGGTTATAAATAGAACAAAATGCGAAGAAGGAAGGGGATTTTCGGGGTATCAGAAATTTCTTATACAAGTCTACTGGAGAACGACGACGATCATGGAATTTCCTGCAATCTGGATTTCCGCTTTTATCGACTTTTGTTACTCGCTTTTTTATTTTCCCTGGTAATTTATTTGCATGCAATTTAAGTTTGTGTTTTCGTTCCTTCATTTATTTAAACTTTCGATATTGCTTTAAAATCAAGTTAATTAAGTTTACGTAGTCATTTTCTTTCTATTGTAAATCTTTATTTCGTTTCTTTATATGAATTTGCATGTCTCTAATTTCACATTGTCTTTCATTTTATATCATTTACACTTAATTTTACTCTTGTCAATTCTCAAGTTCTCAAGTCTCTTAATAAAAAATACAAAAAAACCTTTCGTTTTTTAAGTTAATGAATCTAATTTATTTATCTATTGTTGTTGAAGAACCTTTTTCGATTAGATATAATTGTTTATTTGAGTAGTATCGATGTCCGTATATGTTTTTAAATTCATTTTCCGTGTTTCGCACTTAAATTTATCGCTTCATACGTTTTGATTGAAAAACTTTATTTACTAGCCTAAATAAAAAGAACTCACAGTGGTTGAAAATTGGTTAAAACCTAGTATTTGGGAAAATTGAAATAAAACCAAATTTCACCAGTAATACATATATATTATTTTTTTATATATATATTTTATTAACTTAAAACTCGTTCCCAATAAACCTAATTGAAAAACTAAGTTTTACTTCATAAATTTAGATGACCAATTTTCAATAAGAGTGAAATCTATTATTAAGTGCGTATTTAATTTTGTACTTGCTCAAATTAAATTAATTTAGAATTAAATTGAAATTATTTAAATGTTTTTTATTTTTTAAATATGAAATTTCGAAACTTCCTCTACCAAACTGAACATACACTAAAATTGGCAGTGACACCAACCTCTTATATTGACTGGTAGTTAGATGAAGACTCTTTCATGTACTCTTAGGGGAGATATGAGTAATGGTTAAGTGGGTATTGGTTGCCTAAACGTTAGGGAATTCAAAGAAAAAAAAATTTCAAGAAAATGAAAGTGTCCTTTTCATTTCACAGTGTGAGCAAAATTGGAAATAAGAAAATGGCTAATATCCTAAAATTGTGAGTGTAGTAGTGTGGAAGGAGGAAAAGGGTGTATGGATATATGAAATTTATGGCAACTTTTTCAATTGGCGATGGCTAGAAATGAATGATGAGGCTTAGTTCCAAGGATCTGTCTGTGTAGTTTTGGTTGCCATCATAATTGAAATTTGGGCATAGACATATGGAGGAAAAGAAATGAGCAATTGCTTTCCTTTAGAAAAGGGAAAGGGCAAAAAGGAAAAGATAGGAAAAGCCAAAAGTAACAAAGAGTGCAATGCCAAGGGGAAGAGGATATAGCCAATGTGTCATTTTTGGCATTTCAGGTTCCCATCCCAACTCATCTTATTCACAAAGTGTGGCTTGTATTTGATTCAACCTCACAAAATATCTTGCTGTTTTCATGTGTCTGAGTGTGATTGATTAAGTGCACAAGTTGGGCTAGTTTTGATGTATGTATCCACTGCAAAGTTTAGTACAAGAACAGTTAGTTATTCATTGATATGATATGCATGCAACACATTATCATATAATTTAATTTTCAACTAAGGAGAGCATATGTTTATTTTACGACTGTTTAATAATTATTTTAAACATAAATTATTTAATGGAAATTTATCAAATTACATTTTAAAAACTGTGGCGTGAAAAGTAATATTACAATATATAGAAAATTTTCTTACCTGAAAAAAAGAAAAAAAAAACAAATTTCCGCAGAATCATTGGGGGAGAGAGAATGTTCTAGGCTTTTGTCATTATTCAGCTTAAATAATTTCTATCAACTTAATTTATGTAACAGCATACAATTATTGTTTATTTTTTTGTAAAAGTTAATTAATAACAAGTTGCAGCCAGAGATGAACTTATTTCTAAAGGAACTCAAATATTTAATCCTAGCAGTTCTATTTTTTTCTTTTTTTGTCTTCTTCTTCTCAAATCAACCAATGACTCCCACTTACTTCTATGTGCTCTAGGAAAAAAAATCAAACACGTTTCTAATTATGATAGAATTATATATATATATATATATATATATATATATATATATATATTGAAATGAACATTAAAGAAAACAAAATATTGATAAATAAATTATATTTTTATAGTAAATACAAAATTATTATTATATTTGTCAAAATATAAATATATATTGTAAATTATAAAAATAATCTTATATAAAGCAATATATATGTATATATTAGTTATTAATTAATTTTAAATACATAATATTTAAATATAATGATTAACTTAATTCTATTTGGTTGAATTTTTATTTCTAAATCTTAAATTGATCACCTAATAATCAAATATCTATTGAACAATTTTATTTATTATAATTTTTAATTAATTTTATTTTAAATTAATTACTTTATAAACATAATATTAATAAACAAAATTATATAATGGATATTTTTGCGCTAGTTATCAAAATTTCGACACTCCAAAATTACTGTAACAGCAAGAGAGAGAAATAGTCTTTTTTTTTCAACTTTATTACTTTGTTGAATAATCGAAACAAATTTTAAAAATTATATATATAAGATGATGAAAAGATTAAGAAAAATTATTCTAGCGGTCCAGCTTTGGATCCGTGGGTGCAGAAAAAAGTACATCTAGCTGGCATATTTTAGATGCATGTTTATCCTCAAGCGTCCCAAAAGAGGGTTCAAGTGAAAAGATCTTCACTTTTATTCCACTGTGTTTCCACAATTGTATTGTACCATTCATTCATCATGCAGCTCTGGGAATAACTTCTCAGGAAAAAACAAGCAATAGAAAGTGCAATGCTTTGTTCTGTTTTTATAAATTCCTAAAGTTTAGTTTTTCTTTTAGCTTTCTAGCAAGACACATGCCATAGGACTCTGACAAGAGTATCCACTACTTCCGCATATTATTAGTCTGTTATAAGCTTATATTCTGATTCTGATTCTGTTTATTTTTTCCTTTTTTTCACTTCTTTTGAAAAAGCAGATACCTCGAAATACCTCCACTGATGCTATTTCAGACTCGAGATATGGCAAACTATACACAATTTTTCCACAAAAAAACCAAACATGCAAAACAAAGTAAGTCTCATTTTCCATTTTGATAAGAAAATTCAAAATACAGTAGCTCTGGATTTTTATACATGGTAAAGACCTTTTTCCATATCTAGCAAGTATTTTACATATATTTATATATGTACACCAACTCAAACTCACCAAACTAAGCACATAAATAAGGAAAAAATAACAATATAGTGTGACTGACATGAAAGACAGAAATTAGTTGCCACTTCCAACACCACTGACTAAACCCTCCTAGTAGATTAGTTCCTCCTATCTGTGCTGACCAAATCCGAGACTACCAACCTTCACTTCATGTCCAAACACCCATTGCTGAAAGATGGTCACCGTCTCTTACAAAGAGTTCTGTTGTTGCTAGTGCTAGTGCGAACTCAAGAGTTCTCATGAAAGTTAAGGGATCTAGACAAGGCTGCAGGGTTGGCCCTCAACACAGGAGAGGTTTCAACGACATGGTCCTTCTCGTCTTTCTTGGATTGGAACCCCTTGAACATGCCACCCCCACTCACGCACTCGTTCTTGATCCCTAACGTTGCCCATATAGAACTCTTGGCAGCCTCACTGGGGTCATCGATTCTCAAAGTTTTGGGCACCAACACAGACCCGTTTCTCTGCCTCGATGGTTCCTCATGCAAATGCTCTTGCTTCGCCACGTCATCGTCCCTGGAGTGTTTCCCAAGAGTAGGAGAATTTGGACCAGAACCCGGAGACCTTTGAGATGGAGCAGCATGGTGCTGTGAGTGTGCGGGAAACCAAGGAATGTTCCAAAATGCGTGAGGGTAGAATGACATGGGAAACCCTGGAGGGCACAAAGCAGGAGCTGAGGGAACACCGGAGGTCCAAGGATAAGCCCAAGGAACAGTGGAAATGCACGGAACATGGTGATGATGATTTATGAAACCGTTGTTGTTTGGCACCAATGATTCTTGTGACGTGCTTTTCCCACTTTCCTCATTGGAAACGGTAATGGAAGATGCACTTGAGCAGTCATCATCTTTGTTTCTTTGATCCTCGATGGTGTGAAACCCGTTTCTTGTTTTCTTCTCCGTGAGGTTGAGGACTGATGCCATGGAATCACAAATTGGAGGGTCTAACCCAAAGCTGAGGACTCTCCCATTGGGCTTCAAAAGATGAGTCCCGTTTGGGGAATCGATTCTTGCAGCTTGAAGTGCTTCAGAGATTGTGATATGGCGATAGTGAGAGGCTGAGTTTTTGTTCTTTCTCCTCCCTGCACCCACCGGCACGTTTCGCATGGTGCCCCCGGCGGTCCAGTACCTTTGGCATGCTTTGCAGAAGTAACGTGGCTGGTTCACGTTGTAGTTGTTGTAGTAACAAAACTTGGTGTCCATGCTATTGCAGCGAGGACATGGAAGAATTTTGTCTGGTTTTTTCAGCGTTTTATTGTTGTTATTGTTGTCGTTTTCTGAGTTGGTTGTAACAGCAGCAACTTTTGTGGTTGGATCCGTTTGATCGTTTTCTGACTTGTTGGTTTTTGACTTTGCAGATTCTTCGTCTTTGGAAGGTGTGTTTGGGTTCTGAGTACCCTCTGGGTTCTTCTTATTAGAGTCTGCAGCATTTGGAGAAGGATCAGCTTCTTTCGTTTTCTCACTAACTTCTTCTGGAGGATCCTAATAATTTGACACAATGTTTTTCTTAATTAATGAAATGCATACTTCGGGATGACAAATAACAACACTTGTATACAAGCTGATTCACAGACAGGAGCGCAAGAATTTGTTTCGTCACGTTCATAACGTATTACTCTTATGTACTGGCAGATGACATTATATAAACTCGAACCACAAGATCAAGAAGGTTTGGAAAAGTAAAAACATTCAATTGCTCCCTTTTCTAAAATGAAAAGTATTTGTGTTGGGTGTATAACGTAGGTTTTCTATTGGGATGGTGAAAAGCATGTAATTTTAGGAAGACCAATGAAAATATCAATTAAAAGTTGTTCTTTTTCACGATGTAAACATGTATTTTCTAGAACACGATATATACCAAGATGATGAAAAGCAAAAATCCCATGGGAAAGAAAATTTTAAGTTCTGGATCTGAAGAAGCTACTTCTTAGCTTACAACTGAAAAACGTGTTTAGTTGAGCACTGAGAAAAGTCTAAAAAGTGAAAATCGGTACTTTGAACTCAGACGGAAGATTATTAGCAGAGAAAATTGACTAGAGGTATGGGTGGACTGTGTTCAAAAAAATATTAACCAAGAAAAATAATTTGACCTAGAATTAAATACTCGGGTTCTTCAAGCATATTGAATCAGTAATAAAATGAAAAAAAGGAAAAATAAATTCAGAAAATTACTGGTTAAAAAACTTCACTTCCCCTCCAAAACAAGAGAAGGAAGCACAAAACCTGAAATTAGCTGGCTTTTTCAACTAATTACAAAAACTTTATTCATTTTTATGATTGACTCTGCTTCGAGTACTCTGTTTCTGAAGTTCCAGATCCCAGACAAAAACCGAAAAATAAGCAGCCCGACAAAATATTGCAATCGAAAAAAAAAAGGAACTAATTATTTTCAAAATTAAAAATAAAAATAAAAAAACACACACAACCGTTTTACATTAGAAAATGAAGGCAAAAAAATTGAAGTAAAAAAGAATTACAGGAGAAGAATTTCAAAAGAGGGAAACTTTGGCACCAGAACGGAAAAATTAACCGACCCATGAATTGTTTGAACCTATGTGTTGTTAATCACGTTACCTTGTCTTTGTTCTCATCATCCTCAGTCTCTGACTCAGCGACGTCTTCTAAGTCTTCGTCAACATCCATCGGCGGCGGAGAGACGGTTTCGGAGGCGACAATGGGCGGAGCGTCGGGTTCTCCGGGAAAGGGAATCTTCTGGCCAAAGAGCCTAATTGCGGGGTCCTTACTTTCGAGCATTTTCTGGGAATTGAAACGGCAACGACAGGAGCAAAAAACGCGCGAGATGTTTGTGTTAGGGTTATGTGTGTTATGGTTGAAGCAGGTTGGTTGATTACTAATACTACTGCAGGTGTTGGTGTCTGTTTCAGTGTGTTCGGTTTTTTTGAGGTTTGGGTTTTGATGAAAGTTGGCAATGGAGGCAGGACGAGGTGGATTTTGATCCGTTTAAACGAGAGCAGGGTGCCACGTCACGGAGGGGTTTGGATTCATGGCCACAAGTTTTTGTGGCTTGGAATAGATTTTCTTTTCAAGTGTTCGATTCTCTGCGTTGCACACTCTTTCTGTGCACCCCACTCGCCTCCACGTCAGCGTCTGCGCGCCCTCTCTCCTCGACTTCATCGAGGGTACCGCAATTTTGGCTTCCGTGGAACAACCTCATTGGTTACATTGTTGATAATATTGTCCAACCAAATTACTTTACGTGGACTTCTACCTCAATTTATCAAATTTTAATTAATAGAATTTGAACATGGTATTGTTAGTTTTAATAAAATATTATTCTACGGCTTTTTAATTTTGAAATACATATTTCCTTAGAAAAATCAAATTGAAATATGCCATATGTTATCTTTCTAATAATTTAGTTAACACTTTGTGTAGAGAAACAAAAAATGGTTTTAGTTAACATTTGGAGAATAAAAAAACTATACATTTTAAAATTAAAAAAAAATAGAACAATTTTTAGAGATATTAAATTTTAATTTAAATATTTCAGAACGGTAAAAACATATACACTACAAGTTCTAATAAAAGTGAATTTCTTTTAACAAAAACTGCTGAGACGGGGAAAATTGGTTTTACTTAAAAGGTGATGCTAAGAAAGTGGTGGGTTTTAGTTAAATTTTATACATAAAAAAAAAGTACAAACAGATACAAATTTTAAAAGGTAAAAGGAAAGAAAAAAAGTGATTGCACTCTATCTCTTTTTAATTCCCATTATTCTCTTTTGAGACTTTTTAGTTTCTTTCATAATATTTAAATAAACACAAGAGGAGAAAAAAATAGTAGCATATTATGGTATTATATGCGCTGATTCTGTGCCACCAATTAAATTAATAGTGCTGGCAGTTTGGAGGAAACCCAAAATACCAAACAAGTGTTAAACCCAACAAAAAAAATGAATTAAATTAATAGAGTTGGGTAGCCATTAAGATGTCACTCTGTTAAGAAGAAAAAAATAATATTCCAAGATACTGAAAGAAAAGAAGCGTATTCATATTTTGTGTTCATTGTTTTTGCATGAAAATAAATAACTTATCTATATCTACTAACCAGCTTATATATATTTGTAACTATATATTATATAGTTGTTTTAGTTTTATAAGATGTTTAATAAAAACTGAATTTTTATTTTCTCGGTCGATAATTTAAGGTTAAAAACAATATGTTTTTCACGTTTGAATTGCCTTTCGAAAAAACAGCACATTTTTTTTAAATGACGTTTTTAGCTAAGCATTTCCCAAAAACATTATTATAGGGTGAGAATTTAACTTTTTCAAGTTGAAACAAAAAAATTATTATCGTACTCTTGTTAAGTCATTTAGTAAGATAAAAAATTAAAAATATATTATTCTTTAATTTAGAATTTATATTAATATTTTTTTAAAGAAACTAATATCAATTATGTAAGAATAGTTTTCATTAACATTAATATTAACCTAAGATATTTGATAATACAAACACATATTATTATTTAATGCCAAACCCAACTAAAGCATCTTAATTTGTACAAGGAATTATACACATCTTCAAAATAAATAAAATTAGAAAATCAATAAAAATATTTATCCTATCTTCTCGGACATTCTACGTATAGGATTATTTGTTCCATCTTAAAACATGATCAATATAGTTTATATAACACACAAAACAAGATAGTATTCCAAGGAATTCAACATGTATATATGTTTCAACATCAAATTCATGTAATTTTGTTATAGGTAAATTTTATCATATTTTAAAATTAAAACATTAATACGCATCTACCTCTAACTCTATTTACTATATCTCATGCAATAATTTATTAACGTTTACATAAAAACACTTAACTCTATTTCTAAAAAATGCGATAATTTATTAACGTTTACTTAAAAACACTTAACTCTATTTCTAAAAAACACACTTGTTAAATTAGACTTGAAGATACATAACTATCACATTATTTTCCTTTAATTGATATATATATATATATATATATATATATAACAAAAATAAATAAATGAAATATATTCTCTTATATAATACCCTTAATTACTATAACTTACTAAAAAAAACTTTTTTTCACAAGTTAAGTCTTAAGAATATCATTTTATTCTCACCTCCTAATTATTTTTCTATATGAGTCTAACAATATACTTTATACAAAATCCTTAAATCAAAATATAATGTACACATCTTAACATGGTAATACCTTCTTAAAATTAACAACGTTCAAAACTATACATATTTCATTTTCATATTGTTAGTAAAGAAAAAATCGATACGAGGATCGAAAGAACAAGAGAGAGAAAATCGAATATCATATGATTGGTTAAAAATTTGATAAAGCAAAAAGGCAGTTAGAAGACACCCGGTAACCACAAGATAGAAACACATCGAGAATCAGAATCGAGAATCGAAGGGAGAATATTTGATGTCTATTGTTGAAGAAAATCGAGAAGTTAGAATCAAGTGTAATGTTAAGGTTAAGGGAGCAATTCAAAGTTCTCGAAGATTTGAAATCGAGATCAAGGGAAAGGTTAACCTACATGCCTATCGAAATTATGGCTAAGTTATAAATTGAGGAACGGTTAAACGCCCGCGTATGGAACGTGGAAGCAGTTTTCTAAATCGTAGAACTAAGGGACGTGCACGTTGGATCGTGGTGACAGTTTTGTTAACTGCTCTTAGGAGGTTACCTGAAGGGTGCTCTATAAATAGAGCGAAGATTGAAGGAAGAGGGGAAATTGACAGAGACAACAGAAGCGCAAGTGAACAGTTTGTAGGAGAACGACGCATCATGAAGTTTCTAATGCTCTGGATTTCCGTTTTCATTGATTATCTTTATCGCTTTCTTTACTTTCCCTGGTAATTTACTTTCATTGCAATTTATGTTTATCAGCTTTAAGTTTTTGCCTTTTCAATTCTTTGTCATTTACTTTTATGCAAAATTTACTTTTATGCAAGTTAAGGTTATGTGTTTAAGATCCTCGCCATTTACATTTCTGCAATTTCGATTTCCTGTTATTTACATTTCCGCAATTTCGATTCCTTGTCATTTACACTTAATGCAAATTTGAGGTTTACGTATTTCACATTTCTCTGCAATTTAATATTTTGCACTGCTTTTCGATTCGACGCTTTTACTGCTTTCTTTACTTCGCGTTTCTTAGTAGAAAACACCAAAAATAGTGCTTTCGATTGCCAATCTGAAATGATATATTGCATTGTTAACATTTCTTGACACTATGGTATTGACATTATGATATTTTCGATTCTCATGCATGTTTCGATTGAAAATATTTTGCTAGCCTAAATAAGAAGAATCTACATGGTCGAAATTTGATTAGAACTTAAATTTCTGAGAAATCGAAATCAATCAAATTTTCACCAGAAACACACACACACACACACACATATATATATATATATATATATATATATATATATAATTATTTATATCCATAACAATCATCATATCAATTACACCATTTCATGGTATTCATCGGGTTAATTACATATAGGGTCTTCGAAGAGGATTCATCAAGGAGAGACAACACTAATGAAACATGAGTCCAATCCATATGAATGATTGATATCACCTTCAACTCAAAATCTTTATGTGGATTAGGCTCATGTCTCATTTGTGTTATATATTCCCAATGAATCCCCTCAAAAGCACCAATAGTTGTATCAGAGTCGATAGTTTGTGTGGTGATTGGTAGTTTAAGAGTGATCCTTATATCGAAAGTATTCCTGACAGTGGGGTTAGATAAGCGTGTTTTGTTATTATGAACAACGGTATATGGAATGATCACTAGTGAGCTCAAGGAGGATGTACCAATGGGAAGGGACTCACACTTGAGGGGAAGATTGTTGGAAAATCCAAAATCCAAATGTGAGTCTAAGTCCTAGATTAAGTAAGAATGAAGAAGTTGAGTAATATAAAAGGAAGAACTACCCATAACCCAATGCCTTAAGATTTTGGGTAAAATATGGTGTCAATCTTTTATGTAGGTTAGACTCGTGTCTTATTGGTATTGTCTCTTCCTAGTGAATCCTTTCGAAAGAACCAGTAGTGGTATCAGAGTCAATTATTTGTGTGATGATCGGTAGTTTAAGAGTGATTTTTGGATCGAAAGTCTTCCTAATAATAGGTCAGATAAGTGTGTCTCATTGTGATGAACGGCAGTACATGGAAAGGTCACTAGTAGGTTCGAGGAGGATGTACCAATGTGAAGGATTCACAATTGAGGAGGAGATTGGTGGAAAATTCAAGTATGAGTCTAAGTCCCACATTAGTAAAAATGACGAAGTTAAGTAACATATAAGGAAGAAAGATCAATAACTCAATGCCTTAAAGGTTTTTGGTTGAAGGTGATATCATTCTCTTATGTGAGTTTGATTCGTGTCTCATTGGTGTTACTCTCCCCAATGAATCCCCTTGAAAGACCCCAATAATGTATATGGTTTGTGTGGTGACCAGTAGTTTGAGGGTGATCCTTATATCAAAGTCTTCCTAATAATGGGTCAGATAAGTGTGTCCCGTTATGATGAATGACGGTACATGAAAGGATCACTAGTGAGCTCGACGAGGATGTACTAATGTGAAGGGACTCACACTTAAGGGGGAGATTGTTGAGGAATTCAAGTATGAGTCTAAGTCCCACATTGAGTAAAACTGAGGAAGTTAAGTAACATATAAGGAAGAAAGACACATAACTCAATGCATTAAGATTTTTGATTGAAATTGGTGTTAATCCCTTATGTGGGTTTGGTTCATGCTTCATTGGTGTTGTCTCTCTCCAGTGAATCCCCTTGAAAGACCCAATAATATATCAAAGTCGATGGTTTGTGTTATAACCAGTAGTTTAAGGATGATCCTTATATCAAAATCTTCCTAATAATGGGTCAGGTAGTGAGCTCGAGGAGGATGTACCAATGTGAAGGAACTCACACTTGAAGGGAAAGTATTGAGAAATTCAACTGAGTCTATGTCCCACATTGAGTAAACATGAGGAAGTTGAGTAACATACACGGAAAAAAGACTCATAACTCATTATTTTAAGGTTTGGGGTTGAAGGTGGTGTCAATTCCTTATGTGGGTTTGACTCATGTCTCATTGGTATTTCTCTCCCCAGTGAAGTCAAGTAAGCATGTTTCATTATGATGAACAAAGGTACATGGAAGGGTTACTAATGAGCTCGAGGAGGATGTACCAATAAGAAATTACTCACACTTGAGGGAGAGATTGT